TATGTCAATAGTTCTGATTAGATATCATGCGTATACGAATATGTGATGTATCATTTTCAGACGTGTGAAGCAAATATAGATGCGTTTTGATGACGAAATAATCTTTCTTTGATTTAAAGAATGGTTTATTGTATAATTTTTCTAATGAAATCTATTAGATATGGGCAATTCAGAGGTTTTTATATACGTAACTAAAGTCTAAAGATAATTTGATCTGTCTATCTGTGATTCAGAGATTATGATATGAAACGAAGGAAAGTAACTGAAAAATAAAAGATTCTAGCAATCAGAAAAGTTTGTCCATTTGTCTTCGAGTAACTAATAATGATGTAGTCTGTTACATGTTTATAATTGATAGTGTATACTTTTGGTTCTTATTTTCTTCCACTGGATTATAATAGTATTTCAAAATTCAAAGAAATTGATGCATGAAAATTTTCGATACTCATAGTAATTAAATAAAGATTTCGTTTGAATCTTGACGAACAATTTCTTATAATACACGAGGAATAAAAAAATTATGTTTTTTTTTTGATATAGAAAGAATATTAAATGTTGACTCTAAATTTTAATAGAAACTTAATCATTCTTCAAAATATGAAATAAAATGATGTTCAACAGGCAGATATTGATTGGACTCTTCTCAATACTATATGGTACACATCAAGACAATACATTTTTGTTGAACATTTTACTAATTGAAAAAAACTTCTCAGCACAGTCCCTCTGGGACTAAAATATAGAACTCACATGTTTTCTTCAGCCTCATTATACTAATACGAAATTTGTAAAGTAAAAAATCTCTAGCAAACTATAGTTGTTTTCAAAGAACAGTGAATTACCAGAGAAACGATCTGACACATTTATTTCTATATTTCCAACAGAGTTTTTTTTCTTTTTTGTACTAGCGCTCGATTAAAACTATATTTTCATTAGAAAAGAATAGGAAATTCACTCATCCAGAACCTTGTAAAAATTTAGCGATTCAAACAAAAAAGTAGAATGAATCTAAAATGATAACTTTGATTTTTGTTACAAAAAAAATGAAAGTCATACAAATACAAATATGAGTACCATTCGTAGAGATGCCGATAACTTAAAGAATCCAAAGAGAATCGTAGTTTAAAACTACATTTCAAACAATATCATAGAAACCAAACTAACGAATACACTACTCAGAGTTATTTTTTCCAGGAGTCATGTCTTTACAACACTATTGTATTACTGGTACAGAATGATGTATAAGCAGTTCCTTTTCATTGTACATCAGCTAAAACACTACACACAATTCAAATCATGTTTAAGAAACAAACGAAGGAGTCAAACAGAGTATCGAGGATGAGAACACAGATAGCTGTTCCTATCGATAAGAAATTTTCTTTTCTTTCATCAAATGTTGACGAGTATCAAGGCTTATTATTCCGAAATTTCTCAGCTGCGACTGGACTTCACCATTCTTTCCGGAACTTCAAAATCCGTACCATGGATCCAACAACAAATGAAAGACAATTTACATGCACTACAATAACTTATATACTTCCTGACGTTTTTTCATATTTCTTTTCTCAAAAGAAAAAAAACATTCCGATATTCATGAACAAAACTAAAAATTTCCTAATTGAATCGACTACTGGTGGTTATAGATTCCATTACGATATCCCTTCGTGAACTCTTCAATTACTTCCACTTTTATCTTTCAACACATAGACACTCACCACACTGAGTCACTATTGGTATCAGATCGCTGATCAACGAGCGCAACATCTTGCCGAAATTTTCGAACAAAACCAGGTAATATTCCCACCTTCTCTATCTATCATTTACTACCTGTTCAAAACAGACACTAACCACACTGCACTTCAGTAGCAATCAAATCAATGCTCAAGGAGTGCAACATCTTACCAAAGCTCTCAAACACAACAAAGTAATATCTGCACCTTGTCTATTTATCATTCACTGCCTTTTTAACACAGACACTAACCACATTGCACTTCAGTCGGAATCAAATCGGTGCTCAAGGGGGGACAACATCTTGCCACAACTCTACAAGAAAAGAGGATATAATTTTAATTTATTTTGATGGCATGGACTACTTCTAAACTGACACTTCTGATACTGAACATGAGAATATAGATGTTGGTGCGAGCGCTTGTGGATGTGTGGCTGTAGAGAGCAGATTCACACTCACATTCTATTTTCTTTGAAAATAGATATGAATTCCACAAAATGAATTAACAATTGTTTAGATTATATTTGTTATTTCTTAGCCTTTAACGTATTTGATTCAGTCAAGTAATAAATGCTTTAACGATTAACCTTTCTATCTTTTCTTTTTGTTCGATGAACATTTTTTGGGTTCAATCTGTAATAAAACACGTGTATTTTTCTTTCGTTCTTGTTCAATATTTAGTTTTTCTTAATTTCATTCGATCGTATTATGTTTATCATAATCATTTATATCTTTCATTCGACATGTGCATGTTACTTCTCTCGATTCAGTTTTTGAATTTATAATTCAATGTATGAAAGTAAGTTTTTCTCGCAATTCGATTCATTCATTTGCAATACAATATTTTTTTTTAAATAGATATAAATATTCCGACATCATTTGGTTATCATTATGAGACGATTTCTTCGTCACCTGTACGATCATCATGTAAAAACAATACACAACAGCCTGTCTATGTATCACTTGAACCGAATTTACCTGATCAGATTACAACTATTTCAAACAGTAATACAAATGTGCTACCAGTTATTCCTCCATTTCAAAGAAAATTCCCCATTGTAACAGTAGCAATTCTTGGTTTTTTTGAATTATTTGCTGGATTAATTGTACTTGCGCTTGAATTACTTACTTTCGATATTTCTTTTGGACTCTGGTGTGGTGGTATTTATACACTTGCTGGTGCTGCTATTATTGTGCTCGGTTTGTTAAATTCAAAATCTTTTATTATTATTTTTTTTTGTATTATGTTTAGTTATTGTTACCGATCGTGAACGTCATCAAACATCAGTTGTATTGATTTTTCAATTAGTTGGTAAGAAAAATAATTTTATTTTTTGTTTTATTAAGTGTTTTTTTTTTCAATTGTAGCATTGATGTTTACAATTACTGAAATATTGCTATATAGTGATTTATATCGAAAACGATGTATAACAAAACCAAGTGAACCAACACGTGAATTAACATTCCATTGTCAGTTAGTTATTATTCAAATGGCTGCTGCTACACTAGTATTTGTTAGTACGATTGTTTTTTCGATAATCTATTTTCGAGTAACAATGATTGTACTCAAACAACCATATGGGACTTTTAACATGTCGAATGCGATTAATTTAACTATTTGTTAATGATTTTGAAATTGACGATTGTATTTTATTTTCACTTTTGTTGTGTATTGTATACATATTTGTATTTATCAATTATCTAATTTAGATAAGTTAACTTTATTATTATTATTTTTTTTTTTTTCGTATAAGAAAAACTTAAAAGCATATCCTATGATGATCACATGAAATTTTGTCTTTGTGGTTTTGAATGAATTTTTATTAGATGTTGATAAAGAACACAAAACAGAGCAGTGATATTGATTTGAGATGTCGTCATTATGTAATGTTATGTCGAAAAAAAATATTTTAAAGTCATTCATTTGAAAGTCGATTTCAGGAGAGTATATGATCCAATCACATGTAATTTATACGGTAAGACGGAACAGTAGAAAAAAAAAGTTTGATCAGTCATGTTCTACAAACCAATGTCTTGGTTTTTTTGACACTAGTATATTAATGAAATAGATGACATAGTGGTTGGCATGAAATAAAATATTAACAGATAGAATGTGAAGAGTTTTTTTAACATATGGACCTTCAAATAAATGTGAGATCTCTACAAAACAAAATAATGTAGTCACAAACCATATTTGTTTTTAATCAAACTCCATAGTGAAACTCGCTTTATAGTGTGTTTTAATCGCTAATAGGACTAATTTTCGTTACACCAACGATATATCCAGATAGGACTAGATGTGTGATAGTTTTGGATCGAGTGATTTAACTCGTTTCGATCATCGAATTCCTTTAAAAAGAACTAGACTTCACGATCAGTTCAACCGAATAAACCAAAATTAGTGGTATAAAGAGCAAAAGTTAATTTATCTTCATAGTATGTGAACACTTGTCTATAAGGAAAAATGTCCTGAACAAGTACTTTCTCATCAATACCACATCATCTCATTAGAGTTGAAAAATGAATCATAAGTTGGAGCATAGCAGATGAAGCTGCTTATCACCTAGCTCATGAATTGATGGTCTTTCATATACAAAGTTATTGGAAGTTATGTCCGTATTTAAATAGAGTGAACCTATGTAATCTATATATAATAGCGATACTTTTTCTACATTTAATACTATGTGAGTGTCAAGAGAATAGCCACAGTCATTTGTGGAATTAGCGTCGAACTCTGAACAAAATGGAGGAATTTATTTATCAAAACTTCAATTTTGATTTCTCTCGAAAATTTTTCGAATCAAAAAAATTGAAAACTATTTTTTCCATTGATTCTAGTGGAAAATGTATCGTTTGATGTTAAATCTGACATAGATGACGAATATCTGATTATTTTTTTTAAATTTTATTCGGATTTCGAGCTACGATTGTCGTGGAAAGATTAAAATTCTATAACAAACGTTATTTTTTAGCTTTTTATTCGATGCAATTATGCTTGTTAAGAAATGACCTGATATTTTAAAAGTTTGTTGAAAACTGAACATCTATTGTATCGAATATTTATTTATATGTCACTTCGTTTTGTAGTAAAATGTTAAACCTGCAATTTCTATAGAAAAATTTCTTTTTTTTTTTTTTGATACTTCGTAACGTTTGATCACACTGATGTGATACTCACTTTATAGACTCAAAAAGAGTATAATCATTTTTTTGTAAAATCATAATGTTTTGTATATCATTAAAACCGTAGATTGACTAAAAAAGCTAAGCTCTGAGCATCACATCATGCTCTTCGAGACAATAGTCTATGAAGAAACTTCTTTAGGAATTTTTAGTAATGAAATTAAAAACTGTAAAACATTTCTTTGAATTTTAAATACATCATATCAAGAAACGTTTTAATCAGATCATTTTATATAATATAAGCAAATAGTCAGTACTATTTTAGTTACATATCACTGTAAATAAATGATATGCTCTATTAAATTACAGTTTTATCATCAATATTTAATTATGTTCTTATTTTTATTTGTATATAATCTTTTTGTTACATAAATCACTTATTACTAATGAGAAAAGCAATAGTATAAAAGAGTACTCTTCATAGTATTTACATTACTAAATGAATGTTCAGCAAGTGATTCGCAATATTAAAGATATAAAAAAGACTATAGATTGAAGAGAATAATTCAACATTTAACTATCAGTTACAAATACTTATGATTTACGAAAATAAAATAATGAGAAATATGAACTTAAATTTCAGCAAAATAGATATTTCATGTATACGAGTGAACTTCAGAAGAAAATTAAAAAAAGACAATCTGCTTGAAGTACTGGTAACAATAGTACTATAGTCATCGAAATTTCACATTTCAATAAGAATATTTAATAATTTTGTCATTCTAGAAAAGCAAATTTTCTCGTTTTAATCAAACAAAATTCATGAAATCTTAAGTTTTTTTTAAACGACTTTTATGTGTATATTCGATGTTCGGCATAATTTTTATTGATTATCACAGATTTAAAAAAAAACAAGCAAACAGAAATTGAATTCACTAATTATTTAAAAAATGGTTATTCTTTACGATATAATAAATGTAACGCCCATAGAAGCATAATAGCCAATATTACTTTGAAAATTGCATTGATATCTAAATTATGTGTATTATTCTGTTGTGTAGGTTGTGGTGTTGTTAAACGATCAACTAATCTTAATAATAAATCATTTTGATCTAATGTTCGACCTAAAAGTTGTTCTAAAAGGTGATTATCATTATGTTGTTTTTCATCTTCTTCGTCTGATCTATCACTATCTGTTAATACTTGTGATGTTTCAGTAAATAACTCTTGACGAAGTTTAACAATAAGATCTGATAATTCGTTTCGTTTTAATCGAGTTAATTGATGTCGTTTTTTCTTTATTGATTGTTTATATTCACGAATAATATCATCAAAACGACGAGAATTTACATCATTTGTATGTGTTGCTGCTGTTGCATGTGATGTAGACATTGATACTAATTTCATTGGATTTACCATTGAAGAAGGTGCAGGAGTACGACCTAAATTAATTATTAAATTGTGTTTTAAGAAATAAAAAACTTACGAGGTTGTAATGATAATTTTTTTTCAACATATGTTATTTGACGAATTAATTCTTCAAATGATTGATCAAAATCTTCGGATGATGAAAAATCAATATGAACATTCGAACCTTTTATAATACCCAACCAACTTTGAGCACGAAAAGATTGTTCCATTAAACATGGAATAAATTTAATTCGATTTTCAGCTGCATATTCAGCTTCTATAGAAATTTATTTATAAAAATTGAAGGAAAGAATATTTAAAAAATTTTTTTTTGTTTTGTTTACCTAATCGACAATAATCACTTTCATAGTATTTTTGATTAATACAAAGAAGTACAATATAAGAATCTTCTACAGCTCGAGCCATACTAACAAGTATATCATCACCCATATCTGTTAAATCCATCCAAACTTTATAATTTCTTTCCTGAAATATCAAAAATAAAATTTTTATTCATATTTTTAAAATTTCGTAAAAAGAAGTTTAATAACAACATATTTTTGATTGTTTTTTTCTATAACGTTAAGCAATTCGCTCAAATTCAGATAGTGATTGTAACAGCCAATGGAGTTTTCTTTTACCAAGATTTCTAAAAAAACCGCACACGGTAGTTTTCAGGTTGCAAAAGATTTTCTCGGAGCTATTTTTTTAACAATGCCATTTTAAAGGAAACAAAATGAGGGATCGTCACATTTTCTACGACGTTCTCTTCGCGACCCCTCATTTAATTCTCTTTAAAATGATATTGTCAAAAAATAGCTCTAGGAAAGTCTTCTGGAACCTGAAAACTATCGTGTGCAGTTTTTTTTAGAAATTTTGGTAAAAGAAAACTCCATTGGCTATTAGAATCAATATTTAGGTTTAAGCTAATTGCTTACAATTATAGGAAAAAAAAATAAAAAATAGATTGTTGTTAAACATTTTTTCACCACTTTATATATGTATAATTACCACAAGACGATCATAAATTTTCTGACATGTTTCGCGTGATGAACGATTATAACTTATCATAATATGTCGTTTTTGTTGTTGATTACCACTTGTCATTGTATGAGTTGTTGGTTTAGGAGTAGTTGATGAAGATTGAAATTGAACTTAAAATATAAAATTTATAAAAACATTTTTCTGTTTTGTTTTTCTTACCTCTTTGTTGTTCTGAACATGGTTTAACAAAACTACTAGCAATTTCATCTTCTCTTTCAGGTGTATCTTCAAAAGAATCTTCCTCTTGTTCAGTTGTTGTTACATTAACAACACTTTCATAAAGTAAAGATAATTGTTTTGCAGCTACATTAAGACTATCAGTTATACCACTAGGTAATTCTGCAACTGAAACAGCTGTATTAGTATGAATTCTATTTATTTGTCGATTATCATCACAAATATCTAATGATAATAAAGCTTGATTAATACTTTGTTCATCAATAGATGTTTCTATAAGAATGAATATTAAAGATAAAAATTTATATTAACAAAAATGGTTTACCATCATTATTCGTATCAGCTGATACATCTAAATTGAGTGCGACATCCATCATTTCCTATAAAATAAAAGCAATTTATTTAATAATAAAAGAAAATTTGTTGTTTTTCTTTGTCTCTCACTCGAAATTCATGTAAATTTGATGATTGATTATTTTCAGACGTTTGTATTTCATAATCATTAGAATTAAACGTTTTTTCAGCCATTTTATTCGATATTGTAGTTACTTATGAAATTTGCACTACTACTGATCAATAAAGAACATAAAAAGAACAGAACAATTGCATCAGAATAGATTACGGTTACCTGTTGATGTTCTGTATAATAAAAAAATGACGCGTTTATCAAACATGATCGATGTCGCTACTCAACATACATACGGGCTTATATTCGTATTTTATCATATGGGATAAAACTTATGATTCCATAGGCATATTAATAACACGGTTAGATGAACTGAAACAAATTGATAGAGTTCAACGTAGATATTGAATGATGATTTATTTAACTTAACCTTGATTGGTTACTATTAGTAACGAATGTCATATATTAATTTTGAGTCATAATAATGAAATACCGAAGTTTTCATGAAAATACCTTATGAAATATCTTTACTTTAATTTAATAATATCTTCACACTGATTGGTGTGATTTATACACATAAAGCAATGTGTGATAGTGAGGGCGCTGTGATTAAGATAAACATGTTCTCACCTTATAAAATAACAAAGAACGTGTCAACATTTTTGATTCAAAATTTTGATCATTAATCAATGCTTATTCAAATCTCTAGATTTAATCTTTTGATAACATTGAAGTAAAATTTAAAAAATTGTCATGTTCAATCGAGTTTAACGTGTTTAA